TTTCCCCTTAAACCAACAGGCCATCGCTCTAGCAATTGCTTCAGATGTACTATCCCAAGTCTATGTTCAAAATAAAGCAGAGACAGATTTTTGCAGATCACATTCTCACATGAACCCACATTTCTGTTACTGAGCAGTTAATAGTTACTATAGTCAAAAAGGAAAGAATGTGATTGCCGTGGTACTGTAATCATTTCTGGAAGTGCATCAGTGTAAAACTGAAATAACAGAACAAAACATAAAGTTTCTACCAAGCCATATGTCTTCAGAATTTAAATACTCTTAGGTACAGAGGTAAAAGACATCCATAACCTCAACTAGGAGGTTGCGCTACGTTTGCACAAAGACTTTTCCTTGCAACTCCTCTGAAAGTCAAAAAGGATATAGAGAGAATATATAAAAACCAGGAGGAAATACATATATATCTAACTCTGCCAGGTAAGCCATGACTTTCAGAAAGAACAGATTATCTGTGCCACCTGGTACCTAAGCAGCAGAAACAGTCTAAACCTGTGTGGTTTGGAGGTGCTCCTGCCTAAAGACATGCAAGTCCTTTGCTTCTCCCTTCCTCCACCCTGAGTACTGCTGCAACAACTGGTAACCACCTGCTCTGTTTTTACAGGTTCTGGGCTCTTTTGTCAAGATGGAAGCCATGTCCCATCCCTCTCCAAACCTCTAACCTCCAGTCTTCCCTCTTTCCTTTCACCTCCTCTTCAAAACCCACCAGTAGTATACTCTGCAGCAATAGCATTCCACTTGCAACCTCGCCTTTCCATAGCGAATACAAAAAAAGAGGCTTACATCAAAGTCTGGCACACTGGGCTCTCTGAAGTCATTCCATAATCTTCTGGGAATAACCCCCACAGGAATGTCATGTGTCACAATCCTACTGCTGCTTGATAAGGATGGCTTGAGAGAGAGAGAGGATGCTCTTGCAGTTAAAAACAGGACTTGAATTCTTAATAAAAATTTTTCAAACCCACTCTGGGAAATACTATAACTGAGTGCCCCAGGCATTCAGTTACAGTTTTCTATAGGTTCCTATTGGTCTGCTATTAAGCAGACTTCCCTCTTGAATAAGGAAGAGGTTGTGAGGTATCAGTCATTAGTACCTACAAGCTAACCTTAGAGCCGAAGAGGTGAATCAGACAAGAGGTGTTAACAAGAAAAAAAAAATTTCAGAAGACAACAGTTTGAAATGGAATGGCAGTGCAATCAAAAGCAAAACAAAGAGCCAAACACTACACGGAAACCTCCTTCACCTAGTGGCTTCAAAGAGAAGGCAATAATCCACAGAAGATTCAGAGAATGAAGGAGTGGAGAAAAGTAGACATTAGAAAAAGGTGTTTCAATCACATTGCTTTCATTCTTCCACCACCTCTTCCTTGCCTCTTGGAAAACAGAAAGCTGGTTCTGCATGCTATCAACCATGATGGCAGGAAAGGCTAGTGAAATGGAAAATGGCATGACTTTTCTTTACTTGTTTTCTAGAATTACAGCAAGGAATACCAAAGCTTTATTTGATCTTAGGAAAAGCACTTAAATAATGAAGATAAAAGCATGGTTGCACTTACTAGCTCCACAGCAACTCTGAGACAGGGACAGTGTTTGTTAGTCAACTTGATCTTCACTGCCTTAGCACTCTGGGCAGTTTTTAATGCTCTTGACAGGTTCTCGGGCACCAACTCTAAATAGATTTCATTGTGCTCTGCAGCTACTCCTTCCATCTGAAATTCATCGAAGAAATTTCCCTACAATTT